GAAGAAAAATGATCCAAATATTATGGTACACTAGGTTGTAAAAAAAAAAAAATGAGGGAGTGAGGGTGGGGAAATGATCCGGCCAATTGCCAGGGTAGATTTTCCGCGATCGATCTCTGTCGACCTCGAAAGTCCTCGTATTCACCATCAGGAACATCTGGTCGAATGGCTAGATCTGAATGAATGAATTTTTCAATTGTCTGTCTGTTTGCATTCGTCGGAAGCATTAAATCGCATTGGTTGGTGTGCAGTGCGCTTGCAAATCTCGTATCCCCAAATCCGCGAGGCTTTGACCGCCAAACAAGAACCCCGTGATTTCAAAAGAATGGTAGTTTGATTTATGCATCCGCCACAAACCACGGGTGCCATTATCGGCATCCTTTCATGGTTGGTATAGTCGTTTCTTACAAGTGATGACGGTTGTTTACTTACCGAACCCCACTACGTCCACCACCCCTTATCTTCATATCACTTGGTGGTTCTTTGATTGACGCCTGCAGACAAAATTGTTTGTACAATTATCTGTTCAATAAAAAGGTAAATTAGAGGAGAAAAGTAACCAGGTTAATTTAACTGACTACGTGTTTTCTTTTTTCATTATAACAGCTAAATGGATTTTCATTGATTTCTCTGCAATCTTGGTGCCTCGTTTAATCGGCCCCGCGCCGCATTTTCACTTTCTCTCCCACCCCACGGAATCCACATATGACGAATCAATCTTTTCAGCAAGATCCCGCTTCTACCAAACGACGCTCTCCCATTCCACCTCACTTGAGGCCATCCTTAGAGAATGCGAATATTGATAGAGCGAAAAAATTTGTGGTCTCGCACATGGCTCTGCATTCGATTGCGGATCGAGATAACGGGGCCGCTGAAATACAGCCATCTATGATCAAGGTAAGTGTGTGTGTGTAATTCGACTGTGTGGATGACACTGAATGGTTTCCCCCAGGGATACATCGCTAACTCACTGACACCCAGAAGGTTTGGGGGTGATGGTGGTTGTGATCATCTTATTTTTAAAACGGCTTGTTTCACGCATACGTCACGATGTTTCCTACGTCACTTTTCGGACGAAAACTTGCCATACTCTCGAGTATCATCATTGAACTTCCGCGACCTGGATACGTGGACTGTGGAATTGTATGTAATTCGAGCTACAGTGAATTGCTCTCTGTTGTGCATTGTTTTCTTATTTAGTCGTATATCATAATCTGATCTGTCGCTTCTCCTTGATAGATCGAGAGCTCAGTTCTGAGTCCCTTCTCCTCCTCAGGCAGCGAACTAGAATGGCTGTATAAATTGTGACATCATGGTGCATCCATGAGAAAGAACAAACCTACCGGGAACAATTTACCACAAGGTCACGGTTCACGATCATATCCTGTGCTTGTATTTGGATAAATCGAAACGTAAGCATTCTACCTCCTTGGGAAGTGATTCTTCGAAAAACAGTAAAACCAATCTCATGAATTTGATGATTTGAATGATCCACATGGATGGTTCCGCTCCCTCCCAAGTTCCTGTGTCATGCCTATGTAAATATATTTGATCGTCGGGACCCGACTGCTGTGAGGTACACAACTAAGCGCTTCCATCTGATAGACTGTTGAACACCGCTGTCCACGCCACTTTGCACGAGTCCGGTCGCTAAACTAGACAACCAGTGCTGGAGTTCGACACAGCAATCGTTCACCAGGGCGAGTGGTCGAATTGCAAATGTGCGACAAAAGACAGCAACCAACCAACCAACCAACCACTAAAGGGCATGTTCAGTGGACTGAACTGATCACCCAAACACCGTGGAGAAATCCAGACGAAGTATGAAGCACACAATCCCCGGTCACTGATCACATGAAATGTGTCACGTTTTTGTCGCATAGAATCTGTTCTGACTCGACGGGAAACTTTTCCTTCCCTGTTGTGAGGAGAATTGATAACTCTCGGGATCATCATCATCTTCTTTCTTTTTTCTTTTCAGTTTACTTCCTTTTTTATTGAATGTATACAAAGATACAATTCTCAGGAAGGAGGAAGCGGTAAATCAAAAGGCTACCATTTAACACACAATGGGAGAAGTCAGGCAGTGGTGATGGGATTCGAACACTCGTCCTCCGGGGTGATAATTTGGTGACGTTAGCACCGAGTCACTACCGGTGGTGATAGAAAAAAAAGACAAATGTCGCTAGTTGTTTACATTCTGTTTAATCTTCCCAATCACTGACTTAAAACACAAACGGGTACGTGTATAGCACATTGGATATAGGAAACTCAATGTTTTAACCCCTCTCCCCCCCCGTCCCCTAGGATGTCCGCTTGTTCACCTAACCCAGGTCGCAAATCACTAGTCTCATTCGGTCAACTAGACGTGTGTGCAAGATATGCAGCACTTAGATTGCTTACATCTTAATTAAACCTAATAATAATAATAATAATATTTTATTTGCTATGGTTCTAGAATGTGCGCAGTGTCATTGACCACTTTCAGAAATTAGAGCCCCGGCCGATCCAAGACTGTGCAATGAGAAAGTTGCTAGGGCAATGTTGGATGGGTTTCGAACGTACCACCTGTTGGCCGATCTGACGATGAACTATACTAGGAAAAACCAATCATATAGGCCATAACCCAACACAAGTAATTGGTCAGGATTCACGCTCAATCAAAACGGTCAAACAATCATCTTGCATGTATATTCATTTCCCTGTTCTGAGCAAATACGCATAGCTTCAGTGCAATCAATGAATCGATGCATGTGGTCGGTGCAACCATTATTTGGTTGAGAGGCCTTTAACGATAGCCGATTATTTGGCAATCCTGTAATGTGTGCGATTCTATAACAACCGTCCCGTTCTCCACCATCGCCATTGACAGTGCACTCACACTAGTTCAACGTATGTGGGGTGAATGTGTAAATCGTCTGCACTGCGCGATTGATATCGCGTCCAGTCCCGGTGAACACTTACGGAAGTGACGCAATCGTCCTACCGTACGCGTTGAATAAAACTCCCAGTTGTATGGTCCAGTAGCCTGTTTGATTCGTACCATTTATCTCATTTGCGTTCACCATCACACTCATCAAGTTGTATGGTCGTTGCACCGGTTTCTCTCCACGTGTGTGTCGTTCTCACGCATTGGCGAACCCCGTGTTCATCGATCCGGTAATTGGAATAGCCTCCCCCAATCCCGATGTACTTACATCGGCTAGCTTCACTTTTCTTTTGTCCTGTTTAGTCCCACTTAACTGCCATCACCATGACCACGCCTGGAGCGAGAAGACTATGAATCCGGGTCTGTCTCCTTCATTTCCATCGGTCTCTCGACCGGTGTCACAGTCTTTCCATTTATTTATCCGGTATTTCGATCACAGCCCCGACCTATCTCTCCTTCCCCCCCCCCTCTCTTACACACACGGAGAGAGATTCTTTTGCTAGTTACCGCTGCGTGTGTTCCCCCGATTTCATGTCGGCCGTCAGACACCAGCTACTGACTCTAGATGTGGCATGACAATGTGTGTTTACTAACATGTGGACCCAGTTATATGCACCAGTCCCCTTGCACACCCACTCATCCGGTGTGTCACCGCAAAGCGATTCATGCCATTCTGATCGAGTCTAGTCCTGTGAATCGTCTGCTGCGGTACTCCGATGACAGGACTGGGATGTGGTTGACTGTAACCCGTATTGACCGATCTCTCAACACGCGTGGATCCATTTCCCCGCGGTAGTTTCAACTAGAACGAAGATCAGTTGCGTAAATAGAACGAAAAAAAACAACACTCATTTGTCAGGTCCGAATCTGACTGTCATTTGCGGTATTTATTGTTCTCTGTGTGTGTGTGTGTGCTTGACAGAAGGTTACTACGCTTTCGTATTTGAATTTTGAATTTTGGTTAATCTTTGGGTTTCTTGTGTTGAAAAGAATTTGGTCGTCACATGTGGACCGGTTCACCAAACTCGCTGCTCCTATGGTTGTAAGCATGATGGGGTGGGGGGATAAGGGATCTGTGCGACAGTCTCATTGACTTGGTTAAATACAGTCGTTGAGTGTGCTCTCTTCTCCTGGCGACATAAGCAATCTCGTGTCTCCCTTCCTCCTCCTCCTTCCGAATAACAGAATCGTTTCAATCTGACTATTTTCAATAAACTGCCATAGGACTTCGGAAGCACAATAAATCCGCTCACCGTACTCTATGTGCAATCCGAGTGATGCAGTGAACACAGGAGGATAGCTGTGGTGCCCGTCATCGTGGTTCGCATTCAGCAATCTCTCTCTCTGTATTTTCGGTCAATTTTAAATAATCTTTGTTGCTGTCTGCTATTCCATTCGTCTGCGTTATTCAAAGTCGACCGGAACGACTGATATCAAACGAACAAAAATGTAGTTGTCATAGTTGAGCTGTCTCACACGTGCGTTATTCGAAACTGGTTCAAATCGCGCGCGCGCGCGAAATCTTATTTTGAATGGTTTTTAAAACGACTGAACTCATTGCTTCGCTGTTCTCTCGTTTGTATTGTGTCCATAATCCTGTTAGAAATACACGCAAACATGTCCAAACGCGAGCATGGTTGCTCTCATTAGGGGTTACCGCGGTAGTGCCATTACGGGGGCACATCCTAGCCACATGCCCGGTGAGGGTGCACGTTTGAAGTGCACGCGTTATCCGGACATCTTTTACACCTATTCTATAGTATGTAGTGAGTAGACACAATTGAGTTTAGTGGCCTTACATGGACGGGGACCGAGGCTGATTAACCCCTAACCGATAAAATGACATCCCAGTCCGTTATTACTATATCATATTGCACACTCGTCTGACACCAGTTTGTGTGCCGGAAAAATCATGGTACAATAATCTTCTTAAAAAAGAAGAACTTTCCATGATTGCCTTGTGAGCTGAATACTGCCAGGTTGCCTAAGCCAAGGCAGGTGAATTTTCTTGTGGATTCCACACCCGGAGCCTTCGGCTAGCCAAAGCCTGACCCGCCAAGCAGCGGGGTGGTTTGTAAACCGCAATCCATTGAGAGCCGGTGTTCAGTTCATCATCGGATCATACGTCCTTCGGACGGGGTTAAATGTCCAAGGTGGTGGTGGTAGCGCAGTG